AGCAGCAGCAGCAGTACAGGACATTCAGCGCTGTCGATGGAGACGATAGAGGCGTATGTGAAGGAGCTGCGGCTCAGCAACGACAACACGACGCGGGGTCCGCCGTTGACGGTGGAGCACATCCTTGGCAAAATATACGCGAGGTTCTACAATCAAAAGGGGCAGTCGTCGTTTCCTGATGGACTGCCATTCGCCATAAAACAAATCCCCTCACTGGCATCTGTGGCAATATTGCAATCCCGCATAACGGCGTTTATTCAGAGTGCAGTTGCGACACGTCCTGTTGTTACGGTGTATGAGCTTGAGAGTGAAGTCTGCCTCGCTGAGAACGTATCGACATACGGGGAGCTCGGTCTTGGCTACTCCCTCACATGTCTTCCTTTCGTGCAGCACGCCTTTAAGATCAACGCCGCTGCCAATGTTGCTCCTATTACTAGCACAGACTTCCTGCAATTCCTACTGTTTGACACACACGCGCAAAGTCTTCTCACAGGCTGCGGTGACGCGAATGATGCCGCGCTCTCATTTTCGCGCCGCTACAAAGAAGGCAGATATACCGCAATGCAGTTGGGTATCCACGTTCAGCATTTCCCGTGGCTAATGCAGTTTGTGCGGCAGGAGGCTGGGAGGGTTTCTGCATTTTTTGCGCAGCTACAGGCGATTAACACACACGGATATGAGCGCAACAGAGTTATCTACGAACGCGCCCTCATGTCATTGCATGCTGGTCTGATGCAGCGGGAAAAGAGTATATCGTCGGAATCACCGCATGTGGTAACGTTTGTTGTGCATGCGTCGCTTGCAGAGGCGGAGACGACAGATATTCCCGCTGCTCACTGGGCCACAAGTAGTGGGCCAAGTGGTGGGCTGTGTCTGCATGGTACTCTTCGGGCAGAGCCTGTTTTGTGCCACGCCAGAGTAGATGATACAAGACCGACGCTGACAGCGCCACCGATGCAGAGCGCCTCTTCTTGTGGGACTTCTGCAGTTCCTGTTGCCACTTCCATTGCTTCTGCTCCGCCGCCGCACCAAAATGTGGGGTCAACGCTGGTGGCGCATTCACATGCAAGAAAGCGAAGGCGTGGGGTCGTGATGGATGAAAGGACGGTGGTGTTGGACCCAACGCCTGTGTCGGTGCCGCACAACCCATCTGAATCCACACCAGCGGTAGCAGCCACACAGGCACCTTTGCTCCCTCCTATTCCTCTTGAGAGGGTTGTGTCGCTGCTGCGTTGTTTGGCAGTAATGCAGACTTCGAGTAACGCCATGTACCTTGACGCGTGCGATGACTTTGCCGCCTTCAAGGCGTGCGCCCCGCAGCTTCTGCAGAAGATAGGAAAGGGCAATGATGCTTCAGTGCCGAGCCATGGATGTGTAGCGACACCAAATGATTCATTTTCTGTGACTCTGGAAGGGCTTTTGAATCTCCTCTCCAGCCACGGGGAGCCGGAGGTGCTGTACAAGTTCTACTGCGCTCTTTCTGGTAAAATAAACTCCAGACACCGCGTCGACAATAAGGAATCGGACCAAGAGGAAGATGACACTCATCCCAGCTGCCTTCTCCTGCGTTGCCTAAAGGCCGGTATGTCGGAGTTGGTGTTTGTCCCGCTTCTGGCAACCGATGCGCTACTTCCCCTTTCGGCTGCGCGCAACGTGCTCCGCGGAAGGGTCCTCATGTCAGGGCACATGGCGGTTTCTACCACAGATATGCTTGCGTTTCACCCGCTGCACCTCATTCTGGATCCACCGTCTCATGGTGCTGTTGGTGGCTCCGTGGCGCTGGTGGACGGCGCAGCGTTGATGCGTGACTCATGGGATGCCACGCCTCATCATCACCACTACAAGCATCAGCAGCAGCAGCAGAAAGAACAAGAAGAACTGCTAGAGACTTTCGTGAGCTGTGGGGTTTTACTGCGCGTGCCGGAGGAGTGGTTTCGGGACGGCCTTCTCTTGCGTCTGGTACAACGTCTGGTGCCGTGCCATCGTGATGCTTCGCCCAGGAGTGACGCCGCTGAGTGTAATATGGCGATGCGCATGCTGCTGCTGTACTGGTGGCTCGCGAGTGTGTGGTGCGACGCGCCTCAATCTCCAACGGCTGCAGCGGTAGAGGAACTTCTGCAGGGTCTGCGTGAGACCCCGTGGGTGCCGTGTCTGTCCCGCTCCAACAGCAGTTCGGTTCTTCGCGTCGTGAGCTGGCATGCACCCTCTGACCTGTTCCCCTCAATGGACTGCTTTACAATTAACGGCCTGGACAGGCTGCTGCCTTTCGCGCCGCATCGCATTCAGGATCTCCTTGTGCTGCTGAGACAAAACGATGATCAACATCGCTGGAAACCTGAAGGCTTGTTTCTGGAGAAGTGGATATCTGCAGTGGAAAAGCATACAAGAAGCACCAGTGCCGAGTCGTCGCTTCCGCGTCTCTTCGGCATGCCGGTAGCGTGCACAGCTCCAGTGGCGCTGTGTGTATTGTGCTCGCTGCAGGTTGGTCAGCGTGTCCCTCTGCAAGCATTGCGGTATCTCCTGCAAAGCATTGCCGGCAACGCAGACAGGGGTGAAGAGATTCTTCTTAAGGCGAGGCAGCAGTTGCTCTTTCCGCTTCCAGCTGACCGAAGTGACCTCTGCGCGGATAGGGATTTTGTTGTGGGTGAGATGGCCGCACTCGATACACTCTGCTGGGAGCCGTTGGCCAGCAGCAAAGATGGTGGCGGCAGCGACATTGCCGTCCTCGTGTTCGACCGTTCCATTGACTTTGTCGGCAGCGATCTCCGCGGCTTCCTTGTTGAGTGCCTCGGTGTTTCACAGGTGCCGTGTGTTGCGACGTGGCAGGCAGGTGCACTCGCCTTGAGGCGCCGCTTTATGGCGGGGGAGGACGTCAATGCGTGGCTTACTGAACTATTTCTGCGCGTCCTGACGCAGTGCTGCATTGTGCACTTCAATTATGTAAGGGAGAGGTTTGAGCGGCACTCAGCGAGCAGCGGCGGCGACGACGACGACGACGACGCTCCTGCCAAGGCTGCACTCGATTGTGTAGTGAACAGTGTTCCCGACGGCAGTGGTACCGCATATGTCTTTCCACTCGATGGGCGCTGGCGGTGCGCGGCGGAAGGACTGTTCTTCTGTGGTTCGTTCTACTGCGGCTTCTCTGGACTTGCGCTGCAGGCGGGCGAGGGGCAAGTGGCGCCGGTGCTTCCTGTTCTGAGGTTTGATGAGCAGCCGCAGCCGCATTTTGTCGTTTCAGCCGTTCTAAAAAAGATGGGACTCCTCGCCCTGGAGGAATGCACCGAGAAGATTGTCACGTTTGGCCGCATCAACGCGGCGAGTAGCGCTGAGCTTCACAGACAAATTGAACAATGCGTCCCTCGCGTCAAGGAGTTTCTGAGCACGCGCTATCCGCACTACTACACCCTTGTGGCACCACACGTGCGTCATTTACTCGAGTACTTTGGCATTGTGCTGGCGGCGGAACCTGTGCTGCGTGAGGTGCTGCGCTACCAGGGCTCTGTGTACACCATGACACAGACGGTGCGCTGCCAGTACGTGCGACAGCACAACTGTCTCTACGGTGTCGACGAAGAATTTGTCCCGTCTGTTGGTGCCAATGCGATTGCGGATCTCTTCCTCCCGATGGGAGATGCGGAGGTGCGGCTTGGAGTAGTCGAAGCATTGCAGCAATGGCTTGCAGGTATTGACGACACTGACAGAAATCTCCGCTTGGGTGGCGCGCCGCCTCTGCCGTTGTCACATACGGCCGATGAGGCATGGCAGCTCTCAACGCCCGCAGCCGCGCGGTTCCGTGATCATTTTCCCGTTGGAAGGGACGGCTTCGGCGCGACGGGGCAGAGCTGCACGTCCACAGCTGCTGCTGCTGCTGCATTGGCGTCATCGGGCGGGACGCAGGTGCCACGTGTGATGGTGTTGCCGTGGGGTCACGGCGGCCACATGACACGCTCGCTGCCGCAGTGGCGCTGCGAGATGTTCGGCACCGCGTTCGACGTACTGCGCGCTGTTGAGCGTGGAAGCCGCGACTCGGGGTGCAACGGCCGCGATGACGACGAGGAAGACGACGACGATGCCGATGATACAACGGGCGCATTGCCGGCCTACAAACGTGTGCGGCGCGGCGGCCGCTCTCAGCGCAGTGGACCGGCGATGGTCGTGCAGGAGCGGCGCGATACGGCCGACTACTCGGTC